CTTTTTTAAGATAACTAGATTAGGCAGACATAACCACTCCTTCACAGGCAGCATGCAAAGATATCTGCATAACATTCCAGGGCTTAAAGTATTCTTGTGACTTGAATCCCTTAAACTCTTTCATTTCTTGATCCCCCCCCCCTTTTTTTTTTTAATTCCACAAAAGAAAGTTCTAAACCTAGAATGCAGATGAGGAAACTAAATTGCAAAGGAGTTAGTTTCCCTATTCGGGGAAGATCCTGGAAGAGATCATTAGAATCATGACTTTTGCTTTCCACTGTGCCAAGTTCATTTCCAATATAGCCTACCGCAAAGCTCAGTGTACCACTGTGCCCCATTGATTTATTTTTTTCTTTCTTGTCCCTTTCAGGAAACTCTCCAAGGTACTGAACTTTTATGTGGCTAACGCAGACGACTCTAGCAAAACAGAATTGCTTTTTGCTGCTTTGAAAGCCTTAAAATACTTGTTTAGATTCATCATTCAATCTAGAGTACTCTACTTGAGGTAATGGTAACTGTAATAAGATGTTTGTGCTGTCAGTTCTCTCTTCGTGTAGTTTCCCTTAATCCACAGGCTTGTCTATAGTTCGTGACAGTTGGGTCATGGAATTGACAAATTTCAGAATGCTGGGGCCGAAGGTAGAGGTGGACTACAGAACTGTTGAGGAAGATTCACATGAAGTCCCTTTACATCAGCAGAATTCTAAGGCAGTAGTGACATCAGGGCATCCTTGCATTAAAGATGCAGGTGGCTAAAACATACAGCATTCAGGAAACTTTTGGGGATGCAGGTTCCAGTGACAAGATTACACTTAATACAGCAAGCGGCTTCCTGACAGTGTTGGGCATACAAATGTAGGAGCATGAGCTGCTGTTGGCAGTAGAGGGAGAACAGTGGCAGTTGTTTGAGGAAGATGTTTCCTGAGATTTGTGTTTCTTTGCTGACGTCATGCTTAATTACCTGGTGAAACTGAGCCATGGGAATAGGATAATTCCCTGTCTGGATTTCAAGTATAACAGCTCCATCAAAAATTGAAGAAATCAAGAAAGAGGAAGTACTTTTTCTGGGAATACCCCAAACCGCGCTGCCTTCTCTACTCGTCCAAAACAGTTGGATTTCTAAACTGTTCAAATTTATGTCTAAGGTAGAAAGAAAAGGTTTTTAGATACGAGCATGTATATATTTTAAAGTCTTTTGTATAGTAAAAAAAAAACATGAACAAAATTAAAGGCAAGTAATGAAAAAGTTTGCAACATATAGTACAGATTAAAGGTTAAGAGTTTTACCTATTAAAAGCTCTTATAAATCAATAAAAGAATGATAAATAAAGCAGTAAAGGACAAAAGCATAATTTGCAAAAGAAAAAAAATTCAAATAAATTTAAAAAATACTCATACACTATCAAAAGAATGCAATACACATACTTCCCTTTTACCTATACATTTGATAAGGATTAAAAATCTTTGTCTTTTGATGAGAATGGACAAAAATTGACCTGCCTTTGAATGCTGATGGGAATACAGATTCCTTAGGACAGAAATATGGCACTATGAATAAAAAGGAAGCAAAAAAAAAAAAAAAAAAGGGAAAGAAAAATCATGTTGCCCCATAATGCCCCATCTAGAAATTTATCTAATGGAAAACAATTCACCAGCTGTGAAAGAAATGGATGTTAAAGTATGTACTTTCAGCCCTTTCAAATGTATGGTATGTTAATGAGGAAAGATGACTGTGATAGATTTTTAAATGATAAAAGTAAGGTGTAACATGAGTACAGTGTGACTCCATCTCAAAAATGAATAGGCTTGAAATATATATAGAAACCTGGATAGGTTGCATGCTAAAATGTTAATAGGAGTAAAACTAGGTGAACAAGATTTTAAGAAAGATTTACTTTTTATTCTTTCTGCATTTTTAAAATTTTGACAATAAATATGTTCATTTTTTAGTTTTTTTTTAATTTAATAACTTAAAAAATTCATCTGTGTGAATGAGTTCCTCTTTCCCTAGTAGAAGTGTGTTTACAAGCACATCCTTTTGTACAGCCTCAGTATTTTCTTCTCTTTAGACAGTCTTCTTTTAAAGTTAGCTTGTTGTGTTTTCTAATTATGATAAATTTCCACATATTCAGAATAGTTGGAATAGTTGGGGCATGGAGTATTCTGTTGAGGGAACATTCCCCTTACTTAAATGTGTTTGCGTGGAAAACCCTGGTGTCCAGTAATAAAATCATTATAAAACCACAGTAAGAAGAGCTTAATTTATGAAATTTAAAAATATTTTTCCATTGATGACTCACTAGTTCAGTAGCCCTTCAGAATACCTCAGTAAGTCAGAGTCATCGTTTTCAACATCACATACGATGATCACTATGGAGAGTAAAGGATTAGGGTGACTAGTGAACCTACAAAATTAACTAATCGAGTTGCTTTGTTGAACTGAGTCTCTCAGTAAAGCTATTAATCTTTATAATCTGTGCTATATGTTACTTATGGTTATTTTTCCCTCATTGAAGAAGAGCATGTGTGATAGCAGTCTTGCCTGGGGGCTGCAATTGAAATGTCACCTGGTCCCCCTCCCTTCTATTGCCCTTATCAGAGCTTAAATTACCCTTCCGAGCTCGTTACCTGAGGGGAGTTTACCTCAGGGAGATGTTGTCAGCTGCTCCTACTCGTGGTGACTGCATGCAAAATAGACGGAAACACGACCCGAGCCTGCACCATCTGCATGATCGGTTGCAGACTGGACTGTTGTGAACCATAGGGTTTCCATTGGCTGATTTTTTGGAAGTAGAACACCAGGCCTTTCTTCCTAGTCCATCTTAGTCTAGAAGCTCCACTGAAACCTATTCAGCATCATAGCAACACACAAGCCTCCACTGACAGATGGGTGGTGGCTGCACACGAGGTACGTTGGCCACGGAAGATGAGAATTCTACCACTGAACCACCACTGCCCCCTAACTAGGCAGATACCAAGAGAAAAGTGTAAATTGCCAACAAATAGGACAATAAAAACTTGATCTTAATCCTTCAATCTCATATTACCAAAAAAAAAAAAAAAGTGCCATCGAGTTGATTCTGACTCATAGTGACCCCACAGGACAGAGTAGAGCTGCCCCATAGGGTTTCCAAGGAGTGGCTGGTGGATTCAAACTGCCGACCTTTTGGTTAGCAGCCATAGCTCTTAACCACGGCACCACCAGGGCTCCAGTCTCATATTTAGTCCTGCTTTTTTAAGCACATGCCTACTAAATGTGTACCAAATATTCTGGGTGCTGGGGATCTGGCAGAGGACAAGACAAAGTTTCTGTTGTGGTGGTGCTTGTGATTTACATGGGAGTGGGTGAGGCACATAGTAAAGAAATAAACCTATAAGATCATTTCAGATAGTTGAGGGCTGTGAGGGGAGACACTGATTGGTAGAATGACCAAAAGGCTGCTTGAGATGAGGTGGTCAGAGAAGACCTCTCTGGGAGTTGGCATTTGAGTTGAGACTGAAAGACAAGGAGGCAGCCTCTTGAAAGTCTGAGGGAAGAGTTGTGCAGGGAGCAGGAACTGCTGATGCAAGGGCCCTGCAGGGGCACTGAGTGTGACAGGTTTGAAGAATAAAGAGAAACCAGTGGGGCTGGAGCATAGGGAACAAGAGGGGGAATGGAGAGTGGGGGGAAAAGGGCAACTGAAGTGGGGCCTGTAGGCCACAGTAAGGGGGTCAGATTTTATTCCAAGTGTGTTGGGGTGCCACTGGAGGGTTTCACGGAGAGAAGTAATAAAATAAGACTTACATTTTAAATGATTGTATTTCTTGTGTGGAAAATGGATTATAGAGGGCAAAGCCTGAAAGCAGAGTCCCTGGGTGGCGAAAACGGTTAAGTACTTGAGTAACTGAAAGGTTCACAGTTCAAACACACTCAGAGATGCCTTGGAAAAAAGTCCTGGTAATCTGCTTCCGAAAGGTCACAGCCTTTAAAACCCTGTGGGGCACAGTACTACTCTCCACACATGGGGTCACCATGAGTTAAAATCGACTCAGTGACGGTTGGTTTAAGAATGAAAACTGGGTGACCACTTAATAGGCTTGTTTTTGTTGAAGTATGAGATATGGTGGCTCTATCCAGGATGCAGATGGAGACAGTGAGCTGATTCGGAAGGAAGAAATAATAGAACTTGCTGATGGATTCAATGGGGGAATGCATGAAAGTTATCGTAGATAACATCTAAGTTTTGGGTGGATAGTGGCACTATTTGTTGAAACTTGAAATACTAAGAGAGGAACAGGACAATCAAGTGAGTTGTATTTTAGATACATGAATTTTGAGATGGTTTGTGGACTAAATTGCAAATAAAGTTCTTTTCTAGTTCTGAAAAATTAATGAATTGAAAATTACTGGTAACCCTCTGATTGAATAATTTTTCTCAGTGGAGTGCATACTCCTTGGGTACCATATAAAGTGTCAGTGAGTGGAGGAGACTGACATGTATATGCACATAGGTATGTGTTTGAGTGTGTGTATAAAATTCTGAATCCCAGCCATCCCTACTCTTGACCAGTTAGTTGGTGGTGAAATTGCCGTCTAGTGTAAATGCACGTGCACTACAATTTGAGGCTTTTAGTGTTTCTGAGAAATTGGCCAAAGACCCCTTGATTTCCACTTATGAGAAAGAACCACATTTTCAGTTGATGGACAGATCTTATATAGACTAAGAGTACTATAATCAATACAAATAACCAATGAAGACTGAGGTATTTTGTATCCTGGAGGCATCTGCTGTAGAGCAGGTCAGCACTCTGGAGATCAGTAAGCAACACCGTGGGGAGTTCAGTGGGTGGAGTGGACACTAACTGGTTTTATAGGCTGGGTTGGGTTCAGAACTTTTCTGGCTTGAGGAGCTTCTCTACCCATTTTCTGAAACCTCAACTAAAATGCTTAGGGCTTGGTGAAACAGAAAAGGAGAAGTGAGGGAGGAGAGGAGGAGTGATGCCAGAAGACAGATGAAGCAAGTGTGGTGTTGGCAGGGAAGTTAGATGGGGGGAGTCTTCTGCTTATTGGACCTTCTGCTAGTGAGCTGAAGAAAAGTGGGTATGCAGGCCTCATCTGCTGCCTCCCTGCTGGAAATGCCCACATAACATTAGGAGAGAGGGCATCACCAAAGACTGTGGCCTTTCAGACAGCTTCAGGGGAATCCTCAACCCACTGTCCATCATAGCTGACCACTTGTTGGAGAGCTTGTGTTACAACTTTGCTTACAGATTACGACTCTGCTCTTGTCCAGGTGATAATATCTTCTCAGCCTACTTGCCTGGTTCTTATTCTCCGTGAAACTATCTTTTAAAAAAAGCCAGTTACAGAAAAACCCCTGAAACTAGTGCCCTAAGACAATCTTTAAACCTTAAACCAAAAATATCCCCTGAAGTCTTCTTAAAACCAAACAGTAGTTTAATTAGTAAAGAATGTCTCCCTTGAGCATTGTGTTCTTTTAAGAACTATCTGTATGGGATCAAATTGACATCAGCAACTAGAAAGATTGGATAAGAAGCTTAGGGAGCAGTGAGTTTATGTAAATGGGAGAGGAACAACATAGAAAAGGAGGGTGAGAATGGTGGTACAACTTGAGGAAAGTAGTCAGTGTCGTTGAATTGTACATGTAGAAATTGTTGAATTTAGTGTGTGTTCTGCTGTGTATATTCTCAACAACAGCAACAAAAATGAAATATATTATATTTAAAAAAAAAAAAAAGCCAGTTGCTGTAGAGTCGATTCCAATTTATAGTGACCTCATGTATGTCGGAGCAGAACTGTGCTCGATAGGGTTTTCAGTAACTGATTTTTTGAAAACAGATCACCAGGTCTTTCTTTCAAGGTGCCTCTGGGTGGACTCAAACCACTAATCTTTTGGTTAGCAGTGGAATGTGTTAACCATTTGCACTACCAGGGAAAACCATATCAGAGCATCCTGTTACTTCTCTTTGAACAATTTGAAATGGTGATGACTGAGGCACTGGGCCTCTACCATTGTTTAGGAAAAAAATCTGTTTTAAAATTTCTGGTAAAGATGGAAAATCTGACTGAATTTTCTCTTTTTCCTGTTAAGGTTTTATGGCCAAAGTGAAGATGGAGATGAATTTAATAACTCAATCCGCAAGTTATTTCTCTCTTTCAATACGCTAATGGACAGGCCTCTGGAGGAAGCTGTCAAGATCAAGGTCAGCTTGGCAGAATCAAGGCTAACTCTGTGAATGCTGTGGGTGAGGATGTTCTGGGACAACAATGAGCTGGCTTTGAAGGGATAGCTTGTTTATGTGCAGATGACTTATAGGAAGTAAAGAAGAAATCCATATTTTAACTTTTATGTACATTTGTATTTTCGAATGTTAGTTTGCCAAAGACAAGATCCATTTTTAGACACCCCTTGAATGTCTGTTGTGACTTCTGTGAATTGCACAAGCTGATCCTGATGCTGTTACAGGCAACAGTTTTTTTTGTTGTTGTTCTTAGCTACCTCCCCAGTTCTTTCCAGAAGTTTTATTACCATCTTCATCATCATCAGTTTTTTTTTTTTTAATTTAAAATATATAATCCCTAAGGACTCCAATTTGAACTTTGTTGTTCATTCTTTGCTCTTTATGGCAACTTTGTGAGGAGGACTTGAAGAATTTAACTATGTCTTTAGACAGAAAAATTGAGCTCCAAATGAGCAATGCCTGTTGGCAGTGAAGACAAGAAGCTGTGCGTCCTCCTGCCTTTTCAGGAAAAATATTTTAAGGGATGTGTATAGCAGCGTCAGCTTTCATTTTTCTTGCAAAGGCATCTGTGTCCAGTTCTGTAAGATTCAACTGTAGCCTTTTCTTCTTGGGATCAGGCAGTAAATTCTGCATTTGACAACTAAATTTGTTTTTCTTACAGGGTGCAGCTTTGAAGTACCTTCCCAGTATCATTAATGACGTCAAACTTGTGTTTGACCCTATTGAGCTCAGGTAAGTGGCAAAAATATTTGTTTTTTTGAATTTAACAGAGAAGCAGCTCCCCTGCTTGGCTAGGCTGGGCTACTGCACATGCTTTGAGTCTTTCCGCACATGTTAACTGAGCACCTTTTTGTGCTCAGCTCTGCAGAGGATGTAGAAGAAGACACAGACCCTACCCTTGAAGGAGGTTTGAGCTTTCTCTGGGAAAATAAGACATGCAGACATAAAATTAACTACAAAAAGAAAGTATATAATAACATACTTCAAGCACTATACCTAAGTGCCCCAGGACTGCAAAGCCAGACAGTGACCAGTTGGGGTGGAGTTAGCTAGAAAAGGCATTTCGGAGAAGTTGAATATTAAGGTATACCATACCATACCAGCTGCCGTTGAGTCAATTCCAGCTCTTGGTGACCCCTATGTGTGCAGAGTAGGGTTTTTAAGGCTGTGACCTTTTGGAAATAGATCCCCAGGCGTGTCTTCTGAGACACCTATCTGTGGGTTTGAACCGCCAACCTTTCGGTTAGTAGTCAAGCGTTTAACCATTTGCACCCCCCCCTTCCAGGGACTCCGAATGTTAAGGTAGGTCTGCAAAATGAGGATGGACCTGAATGTGCTGTGACAGTTTAAACAGAATCAGCTCTAAGGCTGAGCCGTTTAGTGAGCAAGGAATACAGTCTTCCTGTCACTTCTTAGACAAACTCTCAGGTCGTTTAAGAGAGTTTCTCGGCAAAACCTCTCCACCCACAAATCTCAAGGTAGAGGGGAAAAGTGTAATTAGTGATGCCTTCAAGTTGAAATTGAAAACACTGATCACTGTGGTTTCTTTTCTAGTGTGCTCTTCTGCAAGTTCATTCAAAGCATTCCTGACAACCAGTTAGTTCGGCAGAAACTTAACTGCATGACCAAGATAGTAGAGAGTAATATCTTTCGGCAGTCAGGTGAGACTCCACCAAAAACAAGTGCTTTCAGAAATTCCAGCCTTACTTCTTTTGTAGCCACTTACCTTTTTTTTTTTTTGTCAGTGATGTGTTTGCCAGTTTTTTGTTGGTACTTAAGGATCTTCTGGGAAACTGGTTTTAAGGGGGAGCTGAAGTCAGCTCAGTATTCCCACTAGTTCCTGAGAGAGCAAAATGTTTTATTAATTAGATAATTTTCTCCTCAGAATGGAGCCCCAGAAAGTTGGTTTAAAAGGAAGCTGGTCCTTTTAAACAAATTCATCTTCTTCAACCTGTATTAATTGAATAACCTCAAAAACCAAGAGGGGTGGGGCTAATAGTGTGCTGGAACCCACATGTACTGACTCCCAAGAGCTGATTATATGTTTCTTCTCAGCTATGTGTTCAGTGATGTCACATTAGTAGCAGGATTTTGACCATGGTGGAAATATTTATACCATAGAAATAGGTAACGCTATAAGAGCTTTTTTCGGGAGAGGGGAGAGCCAGCTTACCACATACTGCTGGGAGGGAAGGGGGCCATGGAGTAGAGAAAACTCTCATACTGATAAAATACTTGTTATTTTGTAACTACACTCAAGCATATAGTCACCAAGACTAAATTGCTGTTTCTTGTCCCAAAACTGATGATTAGGAGGTCAAATATGTAGTTTCCCTATAAACCCAAGACTTGCTAGAGTAGAACAGCGGTAGGAACTATTTTTGGATGTGGGACCTTCTTTTGGAGCTGAGTCTTTTGCGATCATTTTTTTGTACCAGGTTAGGGAATCCCAGAAGATGAACTCATGTTGTGTATGTTGCCTGGGGTTAGGAAAGACCAGCAGGACTCCTTAGAAACTGGGAAAGTTGAGAGGGTTATTGATGGGAGAATACTCCTGACCTTGGTACTGGCTAGTTATGTAACTTTAGACAAGTGAGTGGCCTTCTCTAAGTCTCAAGTTTTGTTTTTACGGAAGGAAAACTTGAACTAAATCATACCAGTAGTCTCTTTTGGCTCTAATATTTTCTGACTGTGAATTTGTGCTTAGAAATTCCACATGTTCCTAGGACACAGTGGAGGTAATGCCTTCAGAGAGCTAGTGAATGCTCTTAAGTAGAAAACAAAATATTACTAAGCATCTTAATATGCTATGATGATCTGTGCCTTTAAGAACACAGAAAAGATAAATGAGATAATAAAGGTAGGGTAGTTGAGCACAGTAGGAAACATGCACTAGATAATTTTAATTAGAGGAAGTATTACCACCTGTAATAATCATTTCTGTTAGTGTCCAGAATATCTAGGACTCATCATAATAATATTTTAGATTAGTGAAGATTCCAGAAGGAGGACATAGTTGAAAGATAACACTTTATGTAGTACACATGCCTACAAAAGACATGAATGGAATTTCTGTAAATCACATTGAAATATACTAGTGAAGCTCAGTATTTATGGAAATTTTATAGTAAAATTTCTCTATTAGGTGAAAACACTTTTTGAAAAAGGTTATAACTTGCTTGGTTTTATTAGTTTCATGTGACTTAGCTTTCAAGTATCAGGTTGGCATTTAAAAGAAACTAAAGAAATTGTTAAATACTTTAAACATTTTGCTAAATCCTCACATTTACCAGTGATTGGGGTAGTTTTCTTATTTTTTTAATCAAGTTCCATACCTAAAGTCATGTGCTCCTCTGTGGCCTGGAGGGATTCCACCCCTGCCGGGCTGATTCTGGAGCTCGGGCTGTGAGAGCAGACAGAGAGGAACAGGCAGCTCAGGATGTGATGCTGCACCCTGTAGCAGGCCATGAGCTGTGTGCATTTTCTTTCTCAGAGTGCAGAGATGTGCTGCTGCCACTGCTGACAGACCAGCTCAGCGGCCAGCTAGACGACAGCTCCAGTAAGCCTGACCATGAGGCAAGCTCACAGCTTCTGAGCAGCATCTTGGAAGTCCTGGACAGGAAGGATGTGGTGAGTCGGATCACTGCTGGTGCACAGCATAACACGACAGGTCCCTTTGTAGAGCACAAGAATGACTCCGTGGCCTTCCTCGGCTGGGGCGTGGCTTAGGCATTTTAGAACCTGGGTATTGATGCAGGCTGTGCCCATTTCAGAAGGGATTAGAGAAGCTTCTTTTTGCCCAGGCCCCCTCTGCAGGTCTAGGTCCTAAAGCTTGGGCCTGCTATGGGCTGATTTTCCTGGCTTGCCCAGTTTATTCATCATTGAGAGCCCTGCAAGTACTCTTAAGGACCAGGACCCTATTTGGACTCTTCCTCTTATTTTGCAGAAACCTCCACCCTCTTATACCTCTGATACCAGACAACACTGTTGTAGATATGCCTGAGCTTCTGAGAGTCCTCATTTCTGTATTCTCTCTGACATTGATCCTTCCTTCCAGACTCTAGTGGAAATTAGGTCTTTTCTTCTCTTGCCCCTTCTCTTTGACCTAGCCTCCCAAGAAGACAATAGGGCCCAACCTGCCTGGATTTGTCATTTGCTAGAGATAGCACAGCCATAGTTCCCCTTTAAGAGGCTGTGGAACTTTGCAGAATGTTTTCAGTTGAGCAATTGACAGATCAGGAAAAAAGATATCTTGCCCCAAACCACAGTCACCACCCCCATGATGGCTGCATGAAACAGTGGTTATGCAGAGTAGGGAGTCACTCTTTTCCCTTTTTTTACCGAGATGACCATGGAAATATCTTTAGGTTCTGTTTTATGTGTGTGGTAAATATACCACCCCGTCCCTGGGTGGTGTAAACAGTTAATGTGCTTGGCTGCTAATCAAAAGGTTGGCAGTTTGAGTCCACCCAGAGCTGCCTCAGAAGAAAGCCCTGGCAATCTACTTCTGAAAAAGCAGCCATTGAAAAACCCTATGGACCACAGTTCTACTCTGACACACATGGGGTCGCTATTAGTTGGAGCCAACTGATGGCAACTGGTTTTTAATGTATGTATAACAAAACATTTGCCATTTCAACATTTTTACATGTACAATTCAATGACATTCCGTTGGATTCATCATGTTGTGAAACCATTATCTGTTTTCAAATTTTTCTATTAGTTTTGATTATAGATATGAGAAATACTTTGTACCTTTTCTAATAGCTAACTTTTTAGCTCACCTTTCTTGGTCCACTACATTTTGGCCAGAGCCTGTCTCCCCGTCATCACTTATATGGGCCCTTCTGTATTTCTGCTAATCCACACCTCATCCACAAACGTACAAGAGGACCATTGCTTTCTGCAGTTATCCCCCCCTTATCCTTTCCCTTGTCTGAACCCCCGTACCCTGCTTACTATTTGCACTGTTTATTTGTTATTTATAATTATAGGTCATTCTTCTTTTGCTTAAATGCATTCCTAAAAACCACATTATAAAATGGAATAAATTTTCCCAGGGAATGTTGTAATTGGAGATTGGTTCTTAACCAAGGACTTTGCAGCAAATAAATAAATGTGATCAATCATGTCATAAAGGCAATTTAAAAAAAAAGCAAAACCTCTTATGACTCAGTAATTATTTAAAATAGTGAAATGAAGCTCCAAGCCCTGTAAAATTGGCAACAATGTACTAGGCACTTTGGCTTAGATGGGGCTCCAGAGTTCTAGAAGGCATATGTATATGATCCAAAGTTAATCTGAAACAAAGGAAATCAGGTTATTTGGTTTCTAGTTGCAGTATTACCTCTCTGTAGCTCTGTGTCTTTAGGCAAGTAATTTAATCCCTCGGTGCCTCAATTTCCTACTCGGTAATATGTAGGCATTGCTCTAGATGAATTCTGAGGTCTCTTCCACTTCTGTAAGGCTATTAATTAAACACGTTGATCCTATTTTTAATATGCAGTATCTCTGTGTACATTCTTACAACACAGAAAGGCTCTTCAGAAATGGCTACAATGGCCTGTCTGTCTTTAAATGCTGTGCAAAGAAATTTAATTGGCTTATGTATTTATTTATTTTTTTGCTGGTAATGTTTCCTGTAATGAGCAGAGGCATTCAAAATTGTTGATTTTGGAACTGCATTAAAGTAGTAAGTTCAATACTGTTTTTGCTGATGATGGTGGTATTTTTTTTCCCCACCATAAAGCATTTTTAAATGTATGAACTAACTCAGTACATCTTCCCTTATTCTCTTATATCTCCTCAGTTAACTCAAGATTCAAATTACTGACAGTTTATTCTTCGTGCCCTGGTGGCACAGTGGTTAAGTACTTGGCTGCTAACTGAAAGGTCTGCGATCAAACCCAGCAGCTATTCCGTGGGAAAAAAGATGTGGCAGTCTGCTTCCGTAAAGATTTATAGCCTTGGAAACCCTATGGGGCAGTTGTACTCTGTCCCATAGGGTGGTTATGAGTCAGAATTGACTCAACAGCAGCAGGGTATTTTTTTTTTTTTTTTTTTTTTTTTTTAATCTCCGTGCCTCTTTCAATAGCCCAGGATTTCCTCCTCTTTTTCCACAGCTATGTCTTTAAATTGTCCTCATTCTTCAAAGTCCAAGTGAAGTAAGCGCCTGCCCATAAAGTTGTTCTTGGTACAGTCCTGCTCAAACACCTATACCCTCTGAATCCCCTTCTTCTTCTCATGTGTCTTTTAAGGCTCTTATTATTTGGTACCTTGGGTTATGAATTCAGTTAACAAATAATTAATACACTGCTAGTGTGCACCAGACGCTATGATAGATCCAGGAATACAGCAGTGAGCAAGAGGAGCAAACACCCTGCCCTCATGGAGCTGACCTTCTAGTGCAATCCTGTTATTTTTATTTCTATTCATGCTCCATCACCTCTCCTGAAATGTGAATTTCTGAAAGGCACAGAGGGCGCCTTCTTCATTTTCATACCTCCACACAGAGCCCAGCGCATGACTTGTGTACCTACTTAGGTCTACAACAAGGATTTGTTATGCCAATGAAAGTGAAATCAGTGTCACCAGGACAGGCAGGTTTTATAAATCACTTTTATTCAAAGATGGAGTCCCTGGGTAGCACAAATGTTTAAGCACTAGGCTGCTAGCTGAAAGACTGACAGTTCAGATCCACTCAGAGGTGCTTTGGGAAAGAGGCTTGGCGATCTATTTCTGAGAGGTCATAGTCACCAAAAGCCCTATGGAGCACAGGTCTTCTCTGCAACATACGGGTTCGCCATGACTCTGAATTGACTCGACGGCAACTGATTTTATTTGAAGAAATGAGAAGCTAACAGTACTTGATGTTTTATTAGAAATACTTATAGCAGTGATTTAGTTATTTGACGTATTAATCAGGAGTTTCAAAAATATAAAGCAAGAAAGGATAAAGGCTTTGAAAAATAAAGTCAGACATGGATAAGTTGAAGCTGAGTGAGTGTTGCATTAAACTACAAAAAAGGAAAGAAGGACTGCAACATGGATAAACTTTGAAAACGTCATGCTGAGTGAAATAAGTCAGTCACAAAAGGGCAACTATTGTATATCCCACTTATATGAAATAGGAGGACCCCTCGTAGCACAGTGATTAAGCGCTTGGCTGCTAACTGAAAAGTGAATGGTTCAAACCCACCAGCTGCTCTATGGGAGAAAGATGTGGCAGTCTTCTTTCATAAAGATTACAGCCTTGGAAAACCTATGGGGCAGTTCTGCTCTGTCCTATAGGATCGCTGTGAGACAGAATCGACTAGACAGCAACAGGATTTTTATATGAAATAGGCAAATAGATACCAAAACTCATTAGTGGTTACCAGGAGTGAGAGGGAATGGGGGAGTCATTGCTTAGGGGGCACTGAGTTTCTGTTAATGGTGGTGGAATAATTTGGAAAGGGATGGTGCTGATGGTTGCATAACATGATGAATATAATCAGTGACACTGAATTATACATGTAAAAATTGTTGAACTGGAAAATATTTTGTTATATATATTTCTACCACAATTAAAAAAAAAAAAAAGAAGGAAAAAATAAACATCTATTAGATACTGTTGTGTAATCAGCCCAACTAATTCCTATAATGGAACCATTGTCATCCTCCTTTTACAGCTCTGAAAACTGAAGTTGAATGAAATCAAATAATTGCTCACAGTCAGACAGGACAGAGTCAGAATATTAAATCTCCTTGACTCAGATTCCTCGTTCTCTTTCTCCCGCACAGAAGGTGGCAAGAACTCTGTATTTTTGGCTTTCACTTTCCGTGTGGGCCTAATCGTCCTGTGCACCACTGATCTGCTCAGCATCAGGACTGAGTACCTCTGCTAAAGTTTCCCCCAAAACTGTCTTTTGAATCGGTGGGTCTGGTGACCGTCACTGACCTGAGCGATCTGGGTTATCTGAGAGGTACCCTTCCCCTGCACACCACATTCATCTTTTAAATGTCATAACTGATTATTCGCACTGATTCCTTTGTAACATTACATATTGTCCCATGAAACCTTTCTTCCTTTGTGGACAAGAGATTGCTTTGTAGGAAAGAGCCAGAACTAGATCTGAAGAGAGAACATATCTGTCCAAGGTTCCCTTGAGAAAAGTGATGCTGAGTCAGAAGAAACAGTGTCAATTCTTCTTCCCCCTCAGGGCCCCACCACGATGCACATACAGCTGATCATGGAGCGGCTGCTGAGAAGGATCAACCGCACTGTGATTGGGATGAGCCGACAGTCTCCTCACGTTGTGAGTATCTCTTCAGTGTATCACACCACCACCACTGCTTCTCATTGTCCCACCTGCTTCAGGACCAGAGCTTGAGACCGAATTTACTGAGGCTTCTCACATCATCATTTATAATCTGTGCCTGTACACTGTGAGGCATACCTACCTCAGGAAAAGAACGGGGTCTAGAACTTTACAGAGACAGATCCAAGACCTCCCTGGCCAGATGACACATGGTTATAACCAGGAACAGATCTTGATTCTGGTACTGATTTTCTATTGCGGGAAAGTGATCCAGCAGGCTGGTAGGGGTAGTGACGGGAGGAGAGTGTTCAAGGTTCCCATAAATAAAAGGCATGCAGATCCATTCTGAGGAGTGTGTACATATTGAAGGTTAAATAAAAGCCCGTTGTAATATATTCAAGCAGAGACAGACTGGAACATACAGGCCCCCTAGGTAGGCCGATAACGTGGTACCCATTCAACCTAATGTTTTTTAAATATTTGTTCAGTATTTTATTTAAGGAAAATCTGAGCTTTTGTGAGCAGCAAATGAGGCATTCTGGTGGCTGCATTCCGCATGTCCTATATTGTGTCTCAAGCAGTTCAGTTCTGCTTCCCTATGTGTATGCTCTTTTCTGAATTTACTGTCCTTAGAACAATAGTAGTGATAGTATTAATACAACTAGTTATAGTGATAATCATAGTTGTAGTAAGTAGCTGATTTTGTTTGTGTGTGCCAAAAGTGTTTTAATCAGTTTACATTTAAACCTCACAACAATCTGAACAACAATCTTAAGAAGTAGTCCTGTTACTAATTCAATTTTCCAAATGACAAAACATACAAAGAAAAGATTAAGAAACTTGCCTAAGTTTGCACAGCTACTAGGTGGTAGAACTGGGGTTTGGACTTGAGCAGCCTGGCTGTAGAGTACTGTGTTTTATCAGCTATACCACATCCCCAAGCAACTTACCAGGGTTTTTTCCAACTATGTACTATAGTCTCCATGAGCGGACTCCTGATAAGTTCAGTTTCCCCTTACATCATTTTTCCACGTACGTTTTAACATGCATATAGACTGGTGCCCTGCAGTACCACCCAGCGGGTCCTTCTCTTTGGTTCCAGGAAGAAATACACCTTTTAAGGAACTTCTGATTAGTTATGTTTTTAGAAATGCCAGTGTTGCATAGCCTCTTATTTTTCATCTAATCTGTCTAAGCAGATGCCAATAAAGAATACAATTGAGACCAGAAGTAACTGTTGAGAGGCCAGGTGATAGCATCATTAAAATGAACCATCTTTTACTTGCTATATTAAAACCTAAAATGATTATCTAAGAACACTCCTTACATTAGAGGAGATTGGTAAATGACTATCCCAAATTGTTTGGTAATAAAAACCATTCGTTTATTCAACAAATAGGTATTAACAAACTGCTGTGAGCCAGGCACTCTTCTAGACACTGGAGATAGGTCAGTGGACAAAACAGACAAAAATCACTGTCTTTAAGAAGCTAACATTCTAACAGGGTTAGGCGAATCAGACCACGAACAGTAACATAATAAATTACCTAGTGTTAGAAGAAGATAAATGTTATGAAGAAAATATTGAGCAGGATAAGGGAAATCAGGACTAGGGAGTCATAAATTTAAATAAGATATCAATCAAGAAAGGCTTCCCTGAGAAGGTAACATTTGGGCAAAAACTTGAAAAGGTAAAGGGGTGAGCCACGTGGGGAGGCTCTGGGGAAAGAACTTCCCAGGCAGACGCAACAGCCAGGGCAGAGTCCCAAGATGTGTCTTATAAGAATCACATATGGGTGAAATAGTTGATCCCAATAAGAATAAAGAAAAATGACTTTAAGTGAAACTGTCTTACTACCTTATTAAAACACAGGCTGATGCAAAGAATATTATAGAAAGATTCAGATCTGGTATTAAAGGAGTAGAGTTTAGCCAGGCTGATCCTGAATTTGGGCATCCATGGGTAGTAGAGATGGTTAACCTGCTTGGCTGCTAACTGAAAGACTGGAGGTTCAGGTCCACCCAGAGGTGCCTTGAAAGAAAGGTCTGGTGATCTACTTTCGAAAAAGCAGCCATTGAAAACTCTATGGAGCACAGTTCTTCACTGACACACATGGAGAGTCAGAATTGACTTGATGGTGACTGGTGGGGTGGTGATCCCGAATCAATGAAATGTCTGAGGGAATGAGGGCCCATTTATAAAGGCATATGGAAAAATAGGAAAACCCCTCATATAAAATCAGCACTCTTACTTCAGAACATTAGAGTAGTTGGTGACAATAGTAACTTGTTTATCACCAGAAGGGATGAGGAAAGCTTAAAATGTATTAATTACTCTTTATTTCTGGTTCTTAATAATATTGCTATTAATTACCTATGCAAAAATAAAGTATGTAGCTTAACTAATCTGTCTTTTCAGCTATTGACTGTTAAAGGCTAAGAGTGAGCTAGGAGAGAAAAATAGTAGACTCACTTATATGCCTAAAAGTAGAAGCTGAAATGTTTTAAAAATTAGCATCACTTCATTAATTCTTTCATAATTTGCTGAAATAACTACTAACAGACTGAGTGCAGCTTAGCAGATCAAGAAGATAAAAAGGAGGAGCCAAGGCCAAGATGGCGGAGTAGTCAAATGCTTCCGGTGGACCCCCTTACAACAAAGACCCAAAAAAAACAAGTGATTCGATTATATATGGCAATCTGGGAGCCCTGAACATGAAAGGCAGAGTTGAGGAACTGGACTGAGTGGCAGGGAGAGGGAGAGATGGTTCAGAAGCAGTGAGGAGTTGCCAGACCTGACCCAGCAAGAGCCTGAGCCCATCAGGCCTGAGCAGCTGTGAGGCAGGCAAGCTGCCGTGCTCAGGAGGCATGTTTTCCACACCAGGAAAGACCCAGAAGCAGTGAGAAGCAGCTCTCCATGAAAGATAAGTATTTGTGTATGCTTACTGCATGGATCAAAATCACCTCTCTTAGGGAAAAACCTCTCTCCCATTTACCTCCCAGGTCCCTGCTCTGCACTGGGTCCAGGACCAGTTTCAGCAGTTGCTGAGTCCCCTGGGCTGGAAATAGGATCTGTCACACACCCAGAGCCATTCTCCCTGCCTTGGAGAGTGAACAAATTAACAAATGGCAAAAAATAAACTGCTGGCTCCCCTAAGCCAGAAACCCAGGGTAGGCCCAGCAACTTTGCCTAGGCACCAGCATAAGGGATCCATGGACTTTGAGTGCCTTTCCCCCTACAAAGACTTGTGTGGGCCCATCTCAACAGTGTAGGCCCACATTACTGCAGTACAACAGGGTATATACCGGAACTCTAAATTCAACTGTTTCTGCTGTGAAATGGCAGGTTCTTGACATTTGACACTGCTCTGCCCATTAAGCAGGGCCTCCATCTTCCCACATCGGGGCCTGAGGACTGGTGGCTCCACCCACACCACCTAGCCACCTGCGATAGGGACCCATGAATAAGAGGTGCCCCCCAGTCCTTACAGCCAACAGCATTAGGTGCTCATAGTCTGGCTGCAAAACCCACCCACCTACACGCTCTAGGGAACAGGGACACGCCTTCCTCCTAGACACTCGGAAGCAGCTGTCAGCCCCCTGCCTTGCTCAGAGTGTGTCCCCCTGCTGCAGCCAGATGCCTGTGCCTGCGCCAATCACCCATGCCTGTCTAGCACTGTAAGTGAGAGCCTACACCACACACCTGGTAGCTATCTACCTGGGCACCTGAGCTGAATCCATACAGGAGTGGGTGGACTCCTGAGCTCACATACCTAGTAACAGATCTAACCACCTGGTGACAGGACATTAGAGCTTCAAAGGTGCCAATAATCAAACTATCTCATAAGAGCAGCCTACCTGGCATATCCAAATAAAACAAGAAGCTAGGACACAGTAAGCAAACATGAAATAAATAAATATAATGACTTATTGATAGCTCAGAGGCAACAGTCAGTATCAAACGACATAAAGAGGGAATCCATCATAGCTTCAGCAAACTCCCAAAATAAAGAATCTAGAAATTTTCAAGAGGAGGAAAATTTCTTGCAATTACCAGAGGCAGAATACAAAAGATTAATATACAGAGCTCTTCAGGAAATTAAGCAAAATGCAGAATACTCAAAAGAGGAAATTAAAAAGATTAGAGAAGAGCATAGTGACATATTTAACAGGCTGCAAGAATCCATAGAGAGCAATCAGAAATCCAGAAGACTAACAATAAAATTTCAGAATTAGACAACTCAGTACAAAGTCATAGGAGCAGAATTGAGGCAATGAAGTCAGAATTAGTGAGATTGAAGATGAAGCATTTGACACCAACTTATTTGAGGAAAAATCAGATAAAAGCAATAAAAACCATGTAGAAACCCTAAGAATTATGTGGGATTCTATCAAGAGGAATAACCTACGAGTAATTGGAGTACCAGAACGGGGGGTGGGGGGAGGATGACAGAAAATACAGAAAGAATTGTTGAAGATTTGTTGGCAGAAAACTTCCCTGATATCGTGAAAGATAACAAGATATCTATCCAAGATGCTCATCAAACCCCACATAAGGTAGATCCCAAAAGAAAGTCAC